CCACTGGGTGTTAGTAAAAAATGCAGGACCTTATTTCCTGGAAGAAATTCTCCCTCAAAACAAAGCATGAAGATAAAAGATAATTTACATGCGCAGTGCTCCAAGGTTTTAATTTGAAGACACTGCAGGTGAGTCAGAAACATGAGACCTGTCCTCAGATGACCCCCCTTCCTTCAGGGCCATCCCAGGGGCTCTGACACTACCAAAGCCCCATTATTAATAGATACAGAGAGTATGTGGACAAAATCCCTCTGGAGTAAGTCCTTAGAGAGAAACAATGATTCCAGATTTCTTGCCCTCAATAGAAATTTCTATGACAATATCTTTTCAGGTAGCCTTTGGAAATTTCCACCCACTTGATCCCATGGCAAAGGAAGCTGAAGCTGACGGAGTGGGAGGAAAACGGCATCTTTGCTGTTGGACACGGTAGGGCTCATGCCCCAGGTTTTATAACATTTGCAGAATACTGATTTTTATCGGTTAAAGAAAAACAGTTGGCTATTAAGCAGGGGTGGGAATAAAGAACTAAAACAGAATGAAATACCACGTAGAGTGGAAGGCTGCTGCGGTATGAAATCAAAGGGAAATTGAGAAATCCCGCTGGCATGCTTTCGGGCTGCCTGTAACAAATAACTGGCACGAGGACAAAAGAGAACTTTACCAGCCACAGTGCTGATTCAATACTTTAAAAACATTCACTTTGGCAAAAAGTTAGAAACATTCACTTCGGCAAAAAGTAAAGTTGTCTCTAAGGCAAGTTGATAGACAATATGTAGCATAAATCTTGGCGGACAATGAAATTCAAAAAGATCTTCCAATGTTTGTATTTGTTAAGCAAAGAAGTGTATATTTAAACATGGCTACAATATCCGTGCACATTTAGAAGAGAAGCACGATACACAGAAATGGGTCTTAACACCCTCTGCGCACAAGGTAATGGCGAACCAAACGCTCCCCACAACCACCCGGCCTCTGGCTGTGTTGTGCGTGAGGACAATCCTTTTGGGAACCTGAACTATAATATATAAAGCAAAGAGGTTTAAACTCCAATAATTCCACCTGGAGGATATTTTTGTTTTCTTTTAGTTTAATGGAAAATAAAATTGAAATATAAACAGCTACATAAAGAAAGATGCCTCTTAAGTGCAAAGGATAAGAAGAGGAACCACTAAACTGCTACGGTGGTTGAGTGAGCTGTGGTATAACAACTAGTTGGAATATTATGTAACAAATAAAAGCGATGAGAAAGTGGATGTTACATTTTGGAAATGCATATAGATCTATGAGCATGAAGCAGATGATTAACCTATATATACCAATAAAACTGTTCAAATGTGTGTCGTTTGATAGAAGTTGTGAGAGATGATAGAAAATGAAAATAAAAGAAGGCATGTCAGGATAGGAAATTTGGGGAATTTTCCACTATTAAACTATTTTTTATAGGTTTTTAAAAAATTTTTATTTTTATTTATTGATTTCAGAGAAAGGAAAGGAGAGGAAAGGAAAGGATCCCCCACTGGGGATCGAGCCTACAACCTGGGCATGTGCCCTGACCTAGAATTGAACCAGCTACCTCCTGGTGCCTGGGATGATTGACACTCAACCACCTGACACCCAGCCAGGCTTAAACCACTTTTTTTAAAAAAATGTCTTTATTAATTTCAGAGAGAGGAAGAGAGAGGGGAAGAGAGAGAGAGTGAAACATCAATGATGAGAGAATCACTGATTGGCTGCCTCCTGCATACTCCCTACCAGGGATCGAGCCCGCAACCCGGGCATGTGCACTGAAGAGGAATCGAACAGAGACCTCCTGGATCCTAGGTGGATGCTTAACCTCTGAGCCATGCGGCCCAGGCTAAACTACTTTTTAATACTATGTTTATATTGACTAAAAGGCAAAACCTGATCTTAAAAAGAGACAGTCCTGTTCTTTCACTATTCAAAAGCAATGAAGATATTTAATGTAAGTGAATGTTTGAAGAGTGTGGGCAGGAAAGTTCATCAGTGGAATTGTAACTCACACAAAGGATTACCCTAGGAAAGAGAATTTAATAAAAACAAAGCTAGGCTAAATGCTATGAGCAGATTTTAATAATTCATCCTGAATTCTATTTCAACTCATCTCACATTCAGAGTTGCATGCAGCTCTGCCATCTAATTCGAGTTGGCATTAAAACACCTGGACATTAATGCTAATTAAGTCTGCCTGTTCATTCTGAGAAACCATATTCTTCTCTGTATTATCAAACATATGCGGTATATCATAATGCAATCCTTTAAAAATATTTTGGATTCATTTCTTGCAAATAAAATCAGAAAAGGCATTAAATTGACTATCTAACATGGATATCATATTGTTGACTACTTCTCATCTTGATTTTTAAAGCAAATAATAGAAATCGTGTGTGTAATATTTATTCTCACACTATGAACTTCTCCCCTATGTTGGAACCACATCTAATGTTAGTGCATCTACCTGGGTTCCTCTCTAGCTGCCTGAATTACAATTACTAAGGGAATCATTTTAGAACCAGTCTTATGTGGAATTTGTTTCCAACAGAAATTAGGGCACACAGTATCATCATGAAAAATCTAACCATAGCCTTCACTAAAAGATTTTATTCTGAATAATGGAAAAACAAAACCATACCATTTTCAAATAGTTTTAACCTTCAATTCGGCATCTGTCATGGGCATCTGTGCCCACACCTCAGTAAATGTCTCCAAAATGAGCTAACTAAAATTATATTTATTTTGAATCGCAGAAATGGAAAAGGTCAAACTACTTTGAAATTCCAATGTTACTTGTGATTCTAACACACCTTTCAATGGAAAGCAACAGTAAAATAGCTGTGGGACAGCAATCTTTTTCTCTTATACAACAATCAAGTTCTCAGATTGCTCATGGAATATCTGAGAATAATTTGGACAACTTGGTCATGGACCTAGAATTAAATGGCAGATTTAATTGCATTAACTTTCAGTAAATTAATGTGGAGGTTGTCACAGTATATCCAGTCCTCAGAAAACTATGATCTTGCGCCAGGGATAAGAGGAGAACACAAACGCTCAAGGCAATGACATCTGGTTGAGGCCACCATGGCCATCATTCGTTGCTTGAACACATCAGGCCCACTGTCACTTGAGCTCCCACCTGTGCACGGCTGCTTCCTATGATGACCGAACGTTCTTTCTCTGAAATATCTGCATAACTCTGCATTTCATACAGGTCTCTAATGAAATCCTCTCTTCAGAAGGCGCTACCAATTCTTCCCATCTTTCACCTTTCCCCCTCTGACTCCCAATCTTTTTGTATTTATTTCGCCTATCACATCACATATGTATCTGTTTACATTATTATCTGTTTCCCCCAACACAATGGACACTATATGAGAGTAGGGACTTTGTTTTTTCAATGCCGTATCCTCAGCCATTAGAACGGAGCTGGTACATAACTGGTGCTCGATGCATATTTATTGAGCGAATGAATAATGAATGAATACATGAATGAATGAATAGGGCCAGAATGAATGAATATGAGTTGATCATAAGGGAGAGATCACTTTTCTGCTAATAAAAAATACGAAATAGTTTTATATATTCAGTTGCAGACAATATTTTCAATTAAGCTCTTAGTAAGCTTGCAATAGAGTACAAAGTACACAGCAACGAAAATAAAGGGAAATTCTGTATATTTTGTCAACCAAAAAAATGTAATGCTACTTTCAGAAAAATAAAGTCTTGCCATACTGCATAAGCCAAAACATGCTGTGTAGGACTTGAAAACTAGAATTCAGGCATACCAAGTCAAATGGAATTTCACACATGAGCACCTGCTGCCCTGAATCATTTTTCTCCCCCTTTCTACCTCTTCAATCGAACACAGCAAAGCCCAGTTCAACCGTCAGCTTCTCCATGGAAACTTCCCAGTTCTAACCATTGCAGAGATCTATTTTACCTCTGAATCTTATTTTTTATTGATAACTTTCCTAGGTCATTTACATTTTCTTCTAGTCTAGATGAACTTGTTTTTTTTGTTGTTTTTCAATTGTTTTTATCTTATTGCTATTTATTATTTATTATTAATTTTGTTATTATTTTCTGTCATGTGTTGTTCATACTTTATGTGTCTAACTTGAGTGTCACCACTTTGTTACACAGCCAGTGGAACCAACTGCAATCCATTACATGAGTTAAGTACCAAGTACATTTGAATAAATACTAACCATCATCCTCAAATCTAACTGGCTTGGAACTAAGAAGAGACAGTGACAGATGACAGAAGGCTCTCTGCCCACTCAGATGACAATGAGGACTACATTCTTCCTTATTTTTCCACCTACATGGTTTCGCTTCCTTGTGAAAATGGAGAGATGGCAGAAGAGGAACACATAAAAAAGGACTTGACCTGTGGCTGTCCACTCGCCTTCTGCATCTGATGTAGCTATACAAATTCATACACCTACCTTAGCTGTCCCAAGCAGAGCACAGTTGCCAAAAACAAACCACCTGAATAGGACCCATCTGGGTGGGCCCCTGCATTTTCAGGAACAACATATTATTGGACTATTATTTTGCCAGGAGTGGGAAGACAGTAGTAACCCCAAGGCAGTATCCAGCTCACAATTGTGTAATAGGGATCCAAACCACTGAAGAATGGAATGAATGTCCACCAAATGCAATGAAAATCATCCTACCAAGCAAGTTCCTCCAGTGCATAAGCTCAATGCATAATTTTGTACCTGAAGTATAAATACTGTAATATAAATATAAAGGTGATAACATTCTGGGCTACAACGATATAAATGTGGAATTATATTCATTTGTATGAATAGCCTCAGAAAATTACTGTGTACAAATTACCTAATTTCTGAACTCTTCCAAATACATCTGAGTCCTCTGAATGTTTCCAGTTATAATGTCACGTCACCAAAATGTAAACCAGAACTACTAAGTGCAATTGGGCACAGCTCAGCCGCCACCCGGGGACACCCACTTACCGGTGCACGCCGCTGTTGCACATGATGACATGGCAGGCGCCCAACCTGCTGCACAGCTCCGAGGACACCGACAGCAGGCCCACGCCTGAGGCGCTGCACGCTGTGTTTGCACAGGCGGCGGTTCGCTTGGACCTGATAAACGAGGCTACCAGCCGGTAAAGCTCATCCAAGGCATTGAGAGGCCTCAGGAGCTGCAGAGCGAAGGGACGAGCGTAAAGTTCAACATGTTTAGTGGGAAGGAATCCTTTTACTTATTTATTATTTATTTATTTTGAATTTATTGGGGTGACATTGGTTAAAAAAATTATATAGGTTTCAGGTATGCGATTCTATAAGACATCATCTGTATATTACACTGTGTTCACCACCCCAAGTCAAGTCTCCTTCTACCACCATTTATCCCCCCTTTACCCTTTTCTACACCCCACCACTCCCCTTCCTTCTGGCAATCACCATACTGTTTTCTGTGTCCATGAGTCTTTGCTTTAGTTTTTATTTTATTTTATTGATTTCAGAGAGGGAGAGATAGAAACATCAGTGATGAGAGTGATCAGCTGCCTCCTGCACGCCCTCCACTGGGGATCCAGCCACAACCCGGACACGTGCCCCAACTGGGAACGAACCTTGATCTCCTGGACCCTAGGTCGATGCTCAACCACTGAGCCACACTGCTTGGGCTCTTTTTTAAGAGATCTTTTTAGATGGAATATAATTCATAGCTGTTATAACTTTTGATGAATAATCTAAAATATTTTATTATGAAGGTAATAAAATTGGAGACTACAAATATTAACAATTACATACACATTGCTCAAGAACAACAGTAGAAAAATTAAGGGAGGTATGTAAATGTCAAAGCATAAATAAGTGCTATCAGCTATTTTTACCTTATCAACATAGGCAGCCTTGGATGTAGAGTTGGGTGGTGAATTTGACTTGTCCAAGTAGAATGCTCTGTAAGAATCCAAAGAATAAATTATCATTTATTGTGAGAAAAATTAAAATGCACGAAGACACACACAAGTTTTACTGACTTATAAAAACAAATAAATACCAAAAGTGCTGAACACTAGGATGGGTGGGACTGCAAAAAAAGTCAGTAATTTTCAATTCTGAAGAAATGATTAAAGCTACCACCAGTTCCACCACATATTGTGTGGCCTTAGAGAGATTATCTAATTTGTCTGTGCCTCAGTTTCCTCTTTTGTAAGCTCAGGATAACATTAGCATCTACTTTACAAGGATGTTAAGATTACATGAATTAATGCAAATAAAATGCTTAGAACAGTACATAGCAGAGTAAGTGTTCACTAATATCTGCAATAATTAATATTATTATAAAAGTTGAAGAAATATATTTTCTTGTGACTATTGGAGAACATTTTCCAGTGTTCATTACTATGTAAGTGTATGATTATGAAACAATACTCAAAAAGCTAATTTTAAAAAATAATGAGTTGGTTTATTTCAGTCATTAAACTGTATACTCAGATTGGAAGTGAAACCTCTTCAAGGATACGCTGCTCTTTTTTGTTACCAAGATGGAATTGGCACCAACTATTTTAATACAAGAAGTGGAATCTTAGCTAGTAGTAATGTTGTTTGGTTTTTGTCTAAGATCAAGTAACACAGATTAATCAAGTTTTACACTTTAAATTAGGACAGCTTTAACTCAAAGAGGAACTTCCAAAATGAAAATTATCTTCATTCTTACTGAGAATTAGTTTATTCATCTCTCAAATACAAATTCAAACAATAACAAAATTTTTTCAATAGTTCAGCACCCAAAGGTCTTTGTTACTCATTACAATTCATTTTGAACTCGCAGATGTCCATGTTTCACCTTGGCACAGAGGTGGTGTCTCAAAGCTGGAACCCGCAGATTCCTTGGTCAGATGTCCCCATGCCTTTCCTCCAGTGTGCTTGGTACACACGTCCAGGGGCAAATTATTCCCTCAGCCCGAATCCCACAGCTGCCTATTGGTCCTGAGCACATAGCACTTTCGGGAGTGTGGGGACTAGAGTAACCCAGGGAAGTGTTCAGCTCAGGACAGAGTTACCGGGACACGAAGCACTGCAAAGTGGAACATCCATCAAGTGCCAATAGTTTCATTTACCTGATTGAGTCCATGTCCATGAGAGCACAGGATGGAGAGGAAAATCAAAGTGATCTGAGCTATTTTAAAATGTTCTACACTTTCTCCAGCATCAGAAAGACATAACAACTCTCTGAGAGGATTGCTGTTATGAGAAGAGGAAATGAGCTTGAACTGCATGAGGTCCAAAGCCATGCAATGAGCTGGAGCTCGGTGAGAATGAATGAATGAATGAATGAATGAATGAATGAATGAGCAGCTTAGAAAAAGGCCGAAACGAGCAGGCTCTACATGCAGGGCCGTGTAAGCCCTGATAAAGACTTGGGTTTTAACTAGTCCCAGCACCAGAAGATGGGCTGTTATAAACTTCATGGCTGTGCATAAAAATTCATGTTTTCCTGAAAGATCTGAGTGCCTTTTCACTTCACTTAGGCTAATATTGTGAAAACCCATGCGCACACCACCATTCTTTAACGATCTTAGCATTTTGCACTTTGTTTCTCCTTTTAAAGAAAGTGAATCATTAGATACAGATTAGCTCTTCACTGCTCACCCTTCTCCACTCCCATCTGGTCCCAAACTCTCCCCTCCCAAGGGAAACACCATCCCGAAGCTACATTTATTACTTCCACGCTTTACAAGGTCACCCATATGGTTGGCCCTAGTGGAGGTACCAAAGAATATTTGATAAATATTTCTATTTATTTTTTTCCCTTTAAATCCACACTTTCTTTGTCGGCTTGTTTCCCCAAGAAGTTGATTACTCAATATTTTTGGCAGTGTCCATCAGGGGCATGCTCGGGCACAGAGTTCTAGAATTAGAGTGACAGCACATCTTCCCCCTCAGTACTGCTTTGAGTCTGCTCTCAAGCTAGCTGTCTTTGTTTTGGGTCTAGTCTATATTTTTTCTCTGACAGGTTGAAATTTTCTTTTTATCCTTGATATTCTAAAGTTTTACCGCAAAATGTCTAGGCATTGATTTATTTTTATTTATTTGGACAGAGTCTCAAAGTGTACTTTCAACTTGGGGAATTTTGTCTTCAATTCTAAAATAATCTCAGCTATTATCTTTTTTATAATCTCATGTGTTTTCTCTCTCCCCCCCTCCGCCACCACAGATACACAGACAATTTAACAGACACACACGTGCACACTTTCTTTTAAGATTTTATTTTTCCATTATTGCACTTTAGGTGATTTGTAATATCTTCCAAATGAAAAAACTGTCAAGTGTAGAGTTTATCCTTTCTACTGAGAATTTTATTTCCATGATTATCTTTTCATTTCCAAGATTTCTGCCTATTCTTGTTTCATTTCTACCACTGAAAGGTAAACTCCTGCATGAGAATGTAAACTCTCTGTGTGGATGTGGACTTCATTTACTTTTGCTCATTGCTGCTTCTCTAGCACCTACAACTGTATGTGGAACGTAGCATGATCTTCATAACTATTTGAAAATAAATAATTGGGTGAAAAAAATGAAGGGATTAAGAAAACAAAAAACACAGCTCATAGGCAGACAACAGTATGGTGATTACCAGAGAGAAATGGGGGTGTGGGACAGGATATAGGGGGGACAAATGGTGATGGAAGGAGACTCGATCTGGGGTGGTGAACACACAATATAATATGCAGATAATGTATTATAGATTTGTATACCTGAAACCTATATAATTTTATTAACCAGTGTCACCTCAATAAATTCAATACAAAGGAAATATAGAAAACAAAAAAATTTTTCAAAAAGAAAATAATTGGATAACTGGCTCTTTTATTTCAAGACTTTCTACCTTTTTAATGGACTGCAACACTTTGTTTATACTTTGAGCATCTAAAATACACTTTGTCAGGCTATTTCAACATTTTAATTTCTTCTGAGTCAAATTTATTTTCAGTGGCCAATTTCATTGGCTCCTTCTTAGTATTAGGCTTCCTCATGTGCTTTGGAATTTGTTTTGCAAGTTCATTTGAAGGGGGAAGACTTTTAATTTAGTTTTTTGTTGTTGTTGTTGTTTTTATATACAGCTCCATCCCTTATCTCTCATTATTTTTCTCTTACAAACGATTCTGTGCTCATTTGGTGCCCAGAACCCCGGTCTGTAATCAGTTTCATATTGGAGACTAGAGTATCACATTGTGCGGCCATCTGGATTATTACCAGTCCCATCATAAGCCAGTGAATGAACTGGTTCAGTTCCTAGTTTAATGGCCATGTCAGCTCCCTCCTCCATCTCAAGTCCACAAAACTACAGTCTCTTCTCCAGCAGCGGTAGACAGCATGCCGATTGCTCACCCTTTGCTCAGAAGTGGAGGAGTCTGACTCTATGCTCCGCTTTCAAACTGTGAGAGTGGCTCTGGGTCTCCACCTAGTGTGGAATGACTTTAATTTCTCATCTCCCTCAACAAGTTGTACAGACCCTCTGTCCATCACCAGAGGCCAACAGGCCAGAGGCCTCAGCACAGCTTACAACAAATTGCTCACATTTTGTTTCCTTTCACGGTCATTGAGATGATAAATTATGACCTCAGCTGTGACTTCTACATTTTCTGCCTTCACATTTTATCCAGCAGTGCTACACGTGAGGAACAGAGGTAGGTGGTTCTCCGAAGCCAGAAGCCACAGAGACACCCTGATCAGATGTCCTCATGCTCACATGTTCTTGGAAAAAGAGCACACAAGTCAACAAATTATTTAGCCTCCCAGAGTCTCAAGTACCTAATTTTTACAGTGGACATTAAAATTGCCCTATATATCAATAGCATAATGTTAAAGATTAATCAATGCATTTGAAGTGCTCAGTACTGTGGTAATGGGCTCATTCAATAGGCAGTAACTATTATTCAAGTGCACACAGTAGGAGGAATCTAAGCCCAAATGTCCTGCTTCCCCCTAAGGCTATCTAAAATATTTTATGATTCATGTAAAAAATGAAAATTAAGGTAGATGTTTGACATCTGCATCATTCTGAGATCATTGCACAGAGGTTCAGGTCTAAAAGGAAAGGACATTTTTTTGAGTGGAAGAAACAAAGTGTCATTTAAATGGCTTACTCGGGCTCATTGGTTGTGAAAACTGCAGCTCCATCCTACTTTCAATAGTTTGAGAAGAAAAATATTCTGTAAAAGTGCTCCAGGGCTCATTAGTACACCCAAGGAAAACTCCGCTACTGAAACCTGCCACTATACCTGGCCACGATGGGCACGCTACCTAATTTCTGAAAGAGATGTTCCTTAAAAAAATAAAATAAAAATTCAAGAGCAGGATCATGTCGATCTAGTTCTGCTACATTCATGTAAATTGACTTGGCAGAAATCTTCAACTTTTTAATGGGGCATCCTCTTTAAAAAAAAATATTTGAGCGAATAGAAAAATAACTTTTATAGATTTAAAATGAATAAGTGCCCACATCAAGTGAAACCTTATTCAGAAACAATCTCATCTTTCCTAAGCTGTTATAGAGCAGAACTACAACAGGAAAAGCATGGAATGACATAACTGAGCCCTGGAAAATGTTCTTAGAAGGCCAACTACAAATTCAAGGTTAAATATACTACTGTTCCAGTCTGGGCAAGTAGTTAATATTTGTGAATCCATGATTATAGAAAGCAACCAATTATTATAGAATACATCCATCAGCTGATGATGTCTAGAGAAAATAACCATGAAATACAGCCACCTCCTTGCTCTTATGAAACTTACATAGCCAACAAATATTTTAGTCAATTACTTCTTAAAATAAAAACTTGGACTTGAGGCTGCAACTAATTTTAGGTACTCCCCATAAAAGAAACACAAAACAACAAACGGTTGTGCAGCCAGATATTTTACCATCCCCAAGGTTTGCAGGTAGAATTTCAGTATTTTTCAGAATATGACAAACTGTGGACAGGAAATGAATTTCTAATGCACTTCCCTTAATTGAAAGTCTTGCAATGCCCCTTAATCAAAATTTATGAGAAAGTTAATGGTAAAATTGGATTAATGCCCAAACTGACTGTAGTTTATTATGCTTCTGAGACTAGTAAGAATGAAGTCATGGTCCTTTGTCTCAATATAGCAAATCTTATTGAGACCCTTTTGAAAGTGCTGCTCCATTTTATAGAAGCTGAACAGTAAGCTTCCTTTCATGCTGGATTACATCAGGCTTCACTGTCACAATTCTATAAATTAACTCTGCGACAGAAAATGGATATATTATAATAACATTTTTTCATTTACTCTCTATAGCCTAAAATACCAATGAAAGAGGTAATAATGTCATAAGTTACATCAGCAGTGATATAAATATATCCAAATCAAATAACTACAATGAAGCTAATTTTGAGCAGACTAATATCAGACAATCTAATAGTGAAGACAAGTGCACAGGTACCTGTAATGCAAGGTAGAGTGATAGGTAAGTTAAAAGGTGCAGAAAGTCACTGGGATATATCCGCATGAGGAAGAAAGAAGGCCACATAAGACTATGACGTAAAGTTGGAATTTGACCCATGGAGGGGATTCTGGACAGGTCAACATGAGAAAGAAACATTTCAAGTAGAGGCAACACCATGAAGAACAGAACAGGCCCAGCCAAGCGTGGCTCAGGGGCTGAGCATCAACCTAGGATCCAGGAGATCGCGGTTCGATTCCCAGTCAGGGCACATGCTGGGGTTTCGGGCTCGATCCCCAGTCGGGGGCGTGCAGGAGGCAACCGATCAATGACTCTCTCAATGATGTTTCTCTCTCTCTCTCCCTTTCCCTTCCTCTCTCTGAAATCAATAAAGATATATTTAAAAGAAGAAAGAAAAAAAAAGAACAGACCAGATATAAAATGGATGGAGCCAGTTTGGTTGAAAACAAGGTTCATGTTTCAAAGTAGGGAGAGAGAATGGTGGGCAAGTAGGCTGGATCCAGACTATGACAAAATTAAGCAGCAAACTAAAAAAATGTAATTAATTTGTTAAGCAGTGGGGAAGCACTACACAATAAACATTTAGCTACCAGCAAAAAAGTAAGAATAAATGGAAAGAAATATGTGATACATAAATTATGAAAGTTTAGGGAATTTAGAGCTTCAAGAGACCCTAGAAATGAAAAGCATCATTCAGCATTCATATCAAGACTACTCTAATGGAAATGGGGAACTGATGTTTGCCATGAGAGAAAGAAAAAGAGTTTGGGGAACATAGAGATTAGTTGTGTAGAGTTAAGCAAGTTAATATACTAATTGAAGAATCAGGAAAATGCTTTCTCAAATGGCTAAAGGTTTAGGATCATAGCTTTATAGGGATGGGCTGGTGCTCCAGTGATGGTCAGGTTTTCACACAAAGGGAGACAGTGCAACAGCATGGTGTAAGATATTTAAACTTATTAATTTTGTCATTGGAGATAGAGAGGTTAAATCAATGACAAATGCGACATTCTTCTCATTTGGCACTTCCCCCCTCCCTTTTCTGGGAACATTAGAGTATATCCAATTTTCCAACAGAGAAGACAAGGTCATAAGAGCCCCTGCTGTTCTGTACACAGGGAATAATAACTATAGTATTCAGCTCAGATCTCTGCTGTATTCTTGTTTTGTTTCCAGATGATTGCTTATGAGATCATCTCTATATTTATAATAATTATGGAAATTTCTCACTTGGCCAGACTCACCTATACTTTTCCGAATATCATGTTCTATCCTAAAATATTCTAAACTGTGTCAGGTAGCTTTTGGGTTTTAGTATTTACTCTGTATTTCAAAAAAACAACAACCCTATAGCAAAGTTTGGTTAATTGTGGCTATTAGTCATAGAAATGATTTAATACGTCATTATAACAGTGGTGCAGCAGTTGACTATAGGTATGGCTGGGCATCTCATGAGTATTATTGTTAAACTGCAATTGACTACTATAGCACTTAAATTAGGAAATAATTCGACATAAAATCTCATTAAAAGATACTGATCTCTTGTACAAATGAGTATCACCAGACAGGTCCCATCTGAGCCCACATATGGGTAAAGAATGCATGACTCTCTCATCATTGATGTTTCTACCTCTCTCTCCCTCTCCCTTCCTCACTCTAAAATCAATAAAGACATAAAAAAAAAACACACAAAAAAAACCCAGCATGGGAAGAGTTTAGAGGTACATTTTGCCCTGTAAGCCATGCTGCCTTTCCAACATAGACTAGTCCCTAAGGGAGAAACTAGCCATTTCTCACACTGAAAACTTTAAATATTGGCATATGCAGTGTTTGTTCAAAGTATTTGTAAAGAGAGTGAATATAGAGAATCTATATAAAATAGAACTTTGCCCACCATTGAAGTTGTGAGGTTCATGTAACTATAGCTAATTTTAGAAACATTCACACAAATCATAATTTTTAGTAAGTCTGTATTAATTTCCCCAAGTTACAATTACATTTTTTAAATCAAAAGCTCTGAGCCCAAGCTAAATTTCCTGATTAGTGTAGGAGCAAAGCTTTGAGAGGATAATTTATAATCATTCATTCACCTTCCGTGGTACATCCACCAAACAGAAGTCTGGTATGTCAGCAAAAGGAACTGAACAAAAGCAAGAGGGGAAAAATTCACTCAATGAACTTGACTAGGATGCCTTGAATACATTTTTTAAAGACTGATTGTCCTTGTGATGGGCTAAAAAAGTAAGCAAAGTTATAAATAAAAATCACTCTTGCTTCCGTAAACACTGACAATTTTTCCTCACAGAGTATATTTCCTTAACTGAATCTTCAGGTAAGGCTTATTCAATCTCTAACACTTCCAGCTCTCATTTATCCCAGAGGAAATTCCAAGCACAAAGTACTTTGATCTTCCCTTTGGTGAAAACAATCCCTTTCTTAGCTTAGAGACAGAGATAATTCAAAGGTTTCTTTTTGAAGATGATTTTATCTGCGTCTGCTTGTCATTCATCCTTGATAAATATTATCACTATAAAGACTTATCACCAAATGTGAAAACAAAGTAAAGTAATTCAAATCTCATTTGCTGCTCTTATCTAAAGATTGTATGAAAAATTCCTTTAATGTAAAAGTTAAATTAATATTACATATAATTACAACTTTTCAAGGGCAAGTGAATTAGTCTGAATGCAGATAAGAGTAAGTAGAGTGGGATAAGTTAAATAAGACTACATGCATAAATGTAAATGCTGCATAGCATAGTCTCAGGGAGCAATGGTGGCAACATTTAACAGAATTATAGTATTTTTCAATTAAAGAAAAGATGTGGCTCTCAAGAGTGTCACTCTCATTTCAAGTTTAACTGCTCTAGTCTCATGTGAAATTTATAAACCTTGCCTATGCTGATGAATTTTCTTGAGAGAGGTCTCCCACAGAGCCAGCATCTGTGCCCTTCAAATGGCCTAGAGTTTTCTGGATATAAAAAGTAGACTGGATACTAGAATAAATTCAATGAAATGATAAGAGCACACAAAAAAGAAGGCCATTACACTGCAATTAATCTGATTTCCAATTCAACTATTTTTATGGTGCTTACTACCTACCAAGCACAGTGGCGACTAGGACCTGGCTGCCCTCCTATGTACTGAGCAAGGCCAATAACTCACAAGTCAAAATAAAACAAATGAAATCCAAGAGGTTGCTAAGTTTTAAAGAAAGTGATTAATTCCAGCTGAGGCTGTAATAACGGAAGGCTTCCTGCAGAAAGATAAATTTGAGATGGATCTTAAATAATTATACTCTTTCCTCAAATGGAAATGGAGCTGAAGCATGCCCTGGATGACAGCTGGGTTCAAAGTAGCTGAGGAAGACCTGACAGCAAAGGAGGGAGAGGTGGGCACAGTGACTCTGTTCACACACCCGTTTCTTCCTCTTGAATTCCAGCCTCCACACCGCTTTATTATTTCCTCTTTGCCCTGTAGGATTTTCACACCTGCTCCTGTCTCTGCTAAGAAACTTGCTCCCCACACCTTTACCTCCCATTCCCTGTCCCCTACACACTGTCACCTCAACTCCCCCTTCAGATCTCTGCATAAAGGTCACACTTCCTCAAATAATTCGCTCCTGAAACCTTCATATGTATTTGAAAGTAGATATTTTTCTTGGTATCATGAAACGTATATGTTTTACGGTACCTTCCATGTTAAACACATTCTCGTTTCTTTGTGAGGGTGGCAGCTGCTTAAGGGCACATAAAGAAACTGTTTTATCCTCAGTCCACTGAACCTCCTAGGGGATGCCACAGTAAAACATCAATGCTTTTCCCAGGGAATGGGAATAAATATTTAATCTCTTGATCTTCAACAGAAATTAAAACAATAGCACGAAAGTTTACAAACATTTTTTTTCTATTTTATTTAGAAAAAGAGTACCCATTAGAATATTTGAAACATTAAACCCTAAATAGAAGACTTTATATCAAAAGAAATATCATGAATCATCTAATATAATGAATAATGTCAAAAACTCTATTTATCTGCTCCTGTCAAAAATAGAGAAACTTTAAAAAAAAAATTGAACGATTGCATACCTGAGCCTCTGGTTGTACTGTTTGACCTTTTCCAATGAGGCTGCATTTATTTGGGCTTGAAATTCTTCCACGGAAACATTGTCTCTATAGTAATATCCTTCCATGCTCTCCAGTGCTGTGTAAACAAGTAAATGTACTTTTCACCTGATTTATAACTCAGTTTCTCCATATTGAGTGTAATCTTATCAGTTATTAGTAAATGTATTAAATAGTACCAAATACGACCATACATGCAAGAATTTTTCTTTCACCATACCAAGAATGAATAAAAATCATTTTTCTTGTCTCATAATAAATAGCAAACATTTGCTAATTCCATTAAGTAGGGAAAGGTAATTTCAAATTTAAACTGTCTTCTATTTTTTTTAAACATTTTGTATATGTTCTTTGTGAAGCTAAACTCAAAATCATATATATTATTAATATATAAACACAGATATATACACACATATATATGTATGAGAGGCAGAAATGTATATTAACATATATGAGTGAAAAAATTAAAATTGTCACTCTCCATATATAGTCACATTCTTTAACAGCTGCAATTTAATTATGAAATATTAGTGTAATAAGTAAATATACATAAAGTGAAATCTTAGACTACCTCTACCCCAATGGTCAGTAAATTTAGTTAAAAATGAATAAGAATAAACATATATATATATATATATATATATATATAGACAAAATACTTATATATAATACATATATATATAATATATATAAAATATATATAAAACTACTATCGATTTTAAAAGTCTTGATTAGTATAGATTTTCTTCCTTTTCCCCCCCCATCTTTTTCTTTTCTTCATCTTCTTTCATCCATTCCTCTCCCCTCCCTCCCCACATACCTCTGATCTGTCAGTCTGCCCCATGTATCCAAGCCTCTGGTTCTATTTTGTTTGTCAGTTTATTTTGTTCATTAGGTTCTACATATAAGTGCAATCATATGGTATTTATCTCTCTCTGACTGGCTTATTTCACTTAGCATAATAATCTCCAGGATTTAGATTTCCTTCTTAACTAACATTTTTGATTATGTGGTTCTTTTTCCTTTAAACTTTATGCAGTGATATTTTTCACCTTTTGGAGAGGAAATGAATCACACAGAACTGCCCAGAAGTACAAGATTTTCTATAGAGAGGTTGCCAGCAACAAGAATGGCAATGAAATTAATCTGGTCCAATGTAAATTACTTCTCCATTAAATTATTGCCACTGAAGAGCCTCACTTGTCAGTCGACTATGTCAAAATTGATGAAAAATTAATCTTCTTTCAAAACTTCTAAATGCAATAGTTTCTAAATCTAATAATAATGTTTCCCCAAATTGACAGAAACTTATCACCATTTGGGGGGGCAAAACCAAGAAAGTCACTGCTAATTTTAGCTGTGCTATATTTTCTAAACTAGTCAGAACTCTAGAGCATTGAAGAAACAACAAAATTTTGAGTATTGCTGCATTTGAAATTTTAAAAATGGAATTATTGGCCTATAATCAAGAAAAGCATCTGTGCAAAATTAGAGAGAAAGCCTACTGCATTTAGCTCAGTACAGGAAGTAAAGCATGGAGCTTGTTTCAATGATTGTTTCTTTGTTTATTGCTTAAGGCTTCCACAGTAATTAGAATATCTACATTGGTTCAGCAAGCTTCTGGTCCTGAATACAAACAAGAAATAAAAAGAAGTCTTCCTGAAAAAATCAATCTTCAAATATTTCAGGAGGATTTGATCTATCAATGGCCATACTTCAATGTGGATCCTTCTTATATATTGTAAAGCTAATAATGAAAGTCATCGCCTTAGAGTGAAACCACATCTTCCATTCCATAGTAGCTGTGTGAGCTTGGGCATGTTAATTAATATCTGAGATCCTCAGGTTCCTCATTTGTGAAATGGGAAATAAGAATACCTACTAATTATGGTTCTTGGGAAAGAATTAAGTTAAATAATAGTATTAAGAGAGCCTATGACTACTCTTATCATTCACTGCACGTTTTATGTACTAAGTAATATACTCAATGCCCTACAAATTCAGTTCCAATGCCTCACTTAGGGAATGTTTGCTTCTATCCCTGAAACTCTGGCTCTGTGGGTTTAAAAGTCCTGATTCCCAAAGGGGCCACACTTTCCCTAGGAGACAAAGCAGGGGTCGAACTGAACTGTAAGCTGAGGTTGCCAACTGGGCACCAGCAGCCAAGAAGAGCAAATACCATCTTGGCAAGGCTAACGGACCCTGATCATCATAAGGAAGTAGGGCTATTGTTACATAATGAGGGATGTCTAGCATCCAGGTAATCCACTCAGATCCCTCTTGGTACTCCCTTGTCCACTTTTGATGGTGATTGGGCAACTGCATGGACCCTGGCCTGAGAAGGGCAGAGTGACCCTCAGGGATGAAGGTCTTAGTCATGCCATGGAGACAAGCAGAGGTTCAGGCTGGGAACAAGGCTAATGGAAAAATGAAAATCTTTTGCAGCCCAAGACCAGCTGTAGCAACAGGGCTATGGGTTGTCCCCATTAACATGTTTCTTCTCAATTATCCTCCCAGAAAAGGAGGCCCATCAGTCATAAAGGACACACTCCCAATCCTTACAAAAAGGAATGGATCTGAGGGTGCGAGATGTGGACTATGGCAGATGCTCTGAGAGTCACCCACTCAGATTCCCTTTCAGAAATGATGGGCTTATTTATTGCCCATCTGCTAGGATGGCCGGAAGACATCCTCAGCTGTCTGCTCTCTAAGGCATCTTCAGCCTTTGCTAGAAAACTATCTCACTCAAGACCCACCCTCTCGCCCCAGCTGCCCAACATTTGTGACATGGCTTATGCTAGTTAAGCAAACATTAACCAGATAATTGCAGTGTTTCATATTCCACATAGACCTGTGCTTTCTCACTCCCAGTGGACATTTAGAATCGCCTGGAAAGCTTCTAAAATATACTGGTATTTGCGCCCCACCTCCCAGAGATTCTGATGTCATTGGTTTGGTATGGGACCAAACATGGGTATTTTCTAAAACCTTCCCAAGGTGACTAATATGCAGCCAATCCTGGGAATCGCTGGGAGACAGCATGGAAACAAGCCAGGGGAGGAAGTGACCCTCAATACCCTCCTTTACTCACATTTTTTACTTCCTTTATTTCAGCAAGGGCTGGAGGATCCCAACAGGATTAATTCTCTAAACTGTAGGAAGTACTTACAGAAGATGGCTTTATCGTGATCTCCTTCTAGCATTTTGGTTGTGCTCTGTGCTGACTTTCCTGACTGTTTGTGTCCCTTACCTTGGAAATCTGCACCACTCGTTTTGCCTGCCCGCAGCCCTGCTCCTCAGCTCTGATCTTCAGCGATGTATGTTCCCTAACGTGTTCCCTCCTTGCCTCCAATCCTGGCATTCCCGATCTAACTGTTGGTCCCATCTCTGCAGGGTGTCCCATCAATGAGAGTGCCCTCCTCTGCCCCAGGATCCATTTTGGCAACGAACTGGGAAGAAGGCAGTTCATTCGCTGCCTGTTCTAAGTATCCAGCACCTCAGACAACTTTTGGACGGCTGACATCAATACATTTCCCAGGGAGTTTTCAATTCATGGAATATTTCTATTTTTTTTATTTGCTAGCAAAGACCCACATATGCATGTATATACACAAAACTAAAACCCTCCAAATAAACGCTGATCCCAGAATAGACCCCATTTGGAATCGCGTCTGTTTCCCACCGCTTTCCGTTACCAGATGGAAATGTCCACTCACACTAGGGCTGGATTTATGGTGCTTCCCTCAATCCGATGAATACTGAGAGCTACTAAGGGTTCCTCATGGGAGGTTTATGAATGCAAAGGAGCTCCTGCGAGCCCTTTCTATAAACGACCGTGTCAACGACAGATTCTTAATGAGACAAACTATTTCCCAGTCTTCTTTACCTATCTGTGACCTCAACTGCAGAAGTATTTCCACTGCTGCTTACTTGGTTCATTTTTTCCTACTTTACTGCTGCGTGAATACTAAAGCTAATGCTAACTGTAGTTTCTCTTTAAACTACATCTTAAAAGTGATAATGTACTTACTGAAATAATATATAGTTAGGGATTCTTTTAAAATGTGTTTCAGCCACAGTTATAAAATAGAGGTTACTCGCGAAGTAATCTTTCTCCTATGCACATCTGCTGCTGGGTATGTGTTCAGCTATTTATGGCTAATCTGTCACACATGGAATAAGGTTTTTTTTAAAAGAAAAGATGCTTAATGCCATCTGTTATCTCAGTAATGATTTAAAAGACAGACTTTTTAACAAGAAACAAATAGAGGAAAGAAGAGAAGAGGGTTGAACAACTGTTAGCTCTGGTTAAACTCTGTAAAAGTTAATATTCTGGACCAGCATCCTTCCCGCTCTCCCTAATCTTTGTCTCGAAAATGGCTTTTAGGCTGAGCTATTCTCCTAACATAGCTCCAAATGTCTATTTTTGCTGAGCTTTTAAAAAATTTTTTATTCCTTTTCATTACAGATTCATGTGTTACCTTTATGGACCCTACTATAGTCCACAAAAAGAAGGAAAGAAGGAGAGGGAGGGAGGCAGGGAGGGAGGGAGGCAGGGAGGGA